TTGTACCTGGCCCTGTTGTGTGAGCCCAAAATTGGCAAATGTGATTTAATAAAACAAACCGGGTTTGAAAGTTTCCTTGGAGAAGTAGGATAGATGTCAGAGGACATGTGCTAATTGTTTAATGTTCACTCTCTCTTAGTCATCATATCTCGGCAGTAGGCACTACTTTCTCCTTTGGACAGGTGTAGATGTTGTGGTTCAGAGAGTTTAAGTAATGTACCCAAGGTCACACAGCTAGTAAGAGGTAGGGCCTGCACTTGCAGCTAGGTTTTTCTGACTCTGCTGTGCTATTCCAGTGGGTTATGGGGACTGAGAATAAAATATTTGAGCTCAGGATTTACCCCTCAAATTACTTCAATCTTGTATGTATCATGTAAAAAGGAGTTCTGTAGGTATCCAATCAATTTTATTATTTTAATGGCATGCCGTATGTACTTAATAAACTCTATTTATCAACCTTTTGGTATTTGATATACTTAAGATAAAAACCACACTGTTTCTGTCTTAATTAATGGAAAAAAACAAAAATGACCAATGATCTCATTATTGCAGAGGAAAAACAGTCTGCTTTTAAATCTTAAAGCATTTCATTGAAATTAGATTTACTTGTTACTATCTCAAGTCATCTCAGTATTTTTCTTTTTTGTTTATAGTTTGATTCATCCAGACTCCTCAAATACTGCTCTTTCAACAAGACTTGTGTCTGTTCAAGAGGATGCTGGGAAGTCTCCTGCTCGAAATAGGTAAACTGCCAAATGAAAACACTGTATTCAGTGTCTTCTCTCTTTTCAGAGTAATGAGAAGAACAAACAGATAAAATTGGGTGGGATTGATTGTTATACACTGTCTTAGCTCTAAAAGCCGAGTGAAACTGTCATGTCCCTTTTGCTAGTCAGCTCTCTTGTACACTCCCGGGGTGGCTCTTGGCCACTGTTCTCCACTGGCTTCTGATCTTGGAACCTATACCCTCCCCTTCTAGCTTCGCAGCTGAACTTGCTTTCTAGTGCATAGGAAAGAGGAGCGAACAAAAGGGGATTTCTTCTTAACGCCACTCACCAACTTGATTACGTTTGGAGTGCAGCCGTTTTCTCTTTACCTCTTAATCAAGGTCGATTCTCCATTTGTATTCTGGATCTGACCCCTTCTCATTTTTTATTAGTTATCCTATTCATGCTCCCTATCTTCCACCTCTCTCTGNTTAGTTAGGAATTTGGAAGTTCAGACCACCCTATGTGGTTACTTTGGGTCTGTGAATTTGTAAGGTCTGCCATGAAGGCCTCCCCTTAGTGTGTTAGGTTTAGCATGTGGCCCCTTTTTTATCCAGTCCACAGAATTAACATCACTTACTCTAGGTTAGACACTGTGCCAAATGCTTTATGTGCAATGTTTTACTTAATTTTAAAAAAACTTTCTGTTAAGTGGGTACTATTGTGGAGAGTGCAGCTCAGCTCCAAGTCCAGTCGCAGGTTTTGGGGGAGTGGGGCACAGACCACTGTCCCACGAGGGAGTCAAACAGGCAACCTTGTTGTTAAGAGCACTTGCTCTAACCAACTGAGTCACCTGGCAGCCCCAAGTGGGAACTATTATTAGGCCCATTTTACAGAAAAGAGGGCTGGGCCTAAAGAAGTCACTAATTTAAGGTCACATGACTAGTTTTTGGCCAAATCCCTTAAGTCTAGTAAACAAATCTTCTTTCTTGATAGAAGTGCTCTGTATCACACAAGTGAACCTCACTCTGTAAAAAACATTGCGCGCAGTTACACATTATGAGTGTTCACATACTCGAACACATACGGTAATCGCCGTGCAGCCCGCACCCATCTGGTGACGCAGCACGCGTGATGCTCACGCGCGCAGTCGGTCTAGCTTCCTGCAGGAAGGCTGAGACAGCCTAACCTCAGCCAAACTGTCTTGGACGACTCTATCTGGGCTGGACTCCCTCTGCCTGAGCATCTGATCCAAGCATCTTGCGGGAGGGGAGAAGAGGGCGGAGCCTGTGGCCGGGAAAGTTGCGGATTGGAGGGGAGCAGAAACAGGGGGCGGAGCCTTGGGGGGAAGCGAGAAGCCGGATCAACCATGTAAGCGGCTTTGCTTCCTGCGGTAACTGCCTGCTGCCCGTGTTCCCCTGTGCTGCGCTCCAGAGGCGGTTTCCTGTGCCTGAACCAGGTGAAGCTGCTGCTGGGGTGGAGGGGCCTGCGGGGCCCGGGCAGGAGCAATAAGGGCGGGGGCCTGGTGCAACGCTGGTTGGGTCGGAGAGTGGGGAAGAAGGCGGGTCTGGGGAGCTCCGGGGCCACAGCGGAGAGGGGAAGGCTGAAGTGAATGCGAAGAGCTGGGGCTCCCAGAACCGCGACTGGAGGCCAGGCTGCGACCGAGACTGGGCAACGAAGGGCAGAGAACCTGTGCCTGGATTCGCCGGCTCCCCTGAGTCCCCGATTGCTCCTTGTCACGCGAGTGCGTAAGGGAGCCGGGTGGGGTTGTTCTTGAAGAGGCTTCCTTGGAAACATTCGAAGTTCCCTTGTCCCTCCCTCTCTTTCCTGTGTACCTCAGCTTGTTTCGGAGGTGCACAGTCAGTCCAGTTACTCCTCCCTCTGGTGGAGAAGCGCTCCGTCTTTGTCATAGATGCATCCGTAGGCTGGAAAAGAAAGTTCATGAGCTACATACAGAAACGACAGCAGGCAGTAGTGGGCTTTAGATATGTGTATGCCTCCTTAAAATGCTTGCCTCTGCTACTTGAGGCTATTCCATTTCGGCCTGTGTTTCAAAGTCTCTGAGAAGGAGACTTCACTTCCCAATTAGTATTTTTCCCTTTACTTAAAATGTTCCCAACAAGAGGATGAGACTGGAATGTGATGGATATTTTTAAGGAATTAAGGCTCTTCTGTCCATTGTAGAAATGGTTATTCTTATGACATTCAAGAAATGAGAAATGCTAGCATTCTGTGTAAAGCAAATTATCTTTGTTTCTTTGATGTGTTTATGTGTTAAATTCTCATGGATTGATTCAGTACATCCTCTGTTGTAAAATTGGTACAATATTGATAGTACAGGTAGTTGTTTGGTATTGTATGTTTGCACTGTCATATTTCTGATGTATTTGAATCTTATTTCTGATTTATTTGAATCTTGTTTCCTATCACTCCAAAATTCCCACTCTATCAGGATTTTTACAAAAAATAATCTTAGTTTATTTCAGTTGGGTTTGGGGTTGTGACAAAGATTGGGCAGGTTAAGTCTGTTTTGTAGAGCAAAACAACTTTCCCCTTCCTTCCTTCCTTCCTTCCTTCCTTCCTTCCTTCCTTCCTTCCTTCCTTCCTTCCTTCCTTTCTTTCTTTCAAGGCTGCCTCCCATTACACACTCTCTTTTCTTCTTTCAGGAAGAGTAATATGGATCACGTTGTGGTTTTCTTTTAGTGTTTCTGTTGGCATGTTGATCAAAAATTGAACACAAAAATCTTTGTTGATGGAAACTAACATTTCTAGTATTCAGCTGTCCTGAATTTTTAGATATATTTTGAGTACTTAAAATAAAACCTGGTGAGAAATGATTCCACTGATATTTGGATTTTTTCATCTGCCAAAATTTTGATATTGGCTGGTAGATTGGGTTTATTTTTCACATTTTAATATCTGATTAGCCTTCAGATTGGCTTAGGCAACAAGATAGTGTGAACTGTGTCTCCATATAATTGCAACCTTCAAATGAGAAGGGACAATATATTGGTGATAACATCAGAGGTCTTTGGATAAGTATATTAATACTTTTAATTATCAGTTAGGAAAGAGTCCTAGTTTGTATCACAGTTATTAAGCTACCAGAGAATAAAATGTTGGAAGGTATTTTTTTCAGGATCCTGGTGTCATGATGTGATTTTTAAGATTAATTCTATATGATTGCATTTATGTTTCAGAGACTACATTTTCTGAGTGTTTTCATAGTAATATTCATCCTCATAGCTCCATAGCCTAATAAAAGTTTTGTAGGTGGGTGACCCTTAGAGGTAATGCTAAGACCCTTTAGGCAGATTGCTAATTTTGCTAATTGCTTCTGATGTTACTTGTGTCAAAGTAGAATGTAGGCTGATTTCCGAGGCCTAAGGGATGTTATTGCCATTACATTTTTCTTTCTCTCCAGTGCTTCCCCCCCGCCCCCTTTGCACCTTTTGAAGTTTACTTTTCATCAATCTCCAGCTTATTTCCTAACCCTTTGTACTGGAATATGGATTGTCATTACACTTTAGAAGGATTGTCGACTACTGTCCCCCATAGAAGATGTTAGGGACCTTCCTTCCCTCTCTCCTTCCTCCTCTTCTCTCCTTTCCCCCTGGTCTTCTTCTGCTCCTTTCCTTTCTTCCTCCTCGCCTTCCCCCCTCCCTCCATTCCAATAAACATTTACTGCCAAAATTTTGTTCAGGTCAGTAGTTTCATTTCTGCTTTGTTTAATTAATTTATTAAGTAAATTATTAATCGGGCAACATCGTGAGTAGTTAGAATTCAGATAGGCCAGAATTGGAAGTCTGTGAAGAGCTACAAAAGTAATTTTGCTCTAAAGAGGAATACCGGGCTGCAATTTGGGATTTAGTTACAACTCTACCACCGACTAGTTGTGTGACCCTCAAAAAAGTTGTTTTAGGTTCTGTGTACATTGGTTGCCTCAAAGGTAAAATATTAGTAATAAGGCCAGTTCTGTGAGCCTTCCAGGATTTTGTAAATATTAAATGAGATGGTAGATATGATTTTGAAAGTGAAAAGAGTTTTATAAGAGTGTAATGACCTCTTTGTAAAGCATAAATTAGATTACAAACTAGCATTTTGATGACTAGAGTTATGCATAGTTCATGCGTGGTTCCTCTCCTTTATTTGAAGTATTAATCAATATGGTAGAAAATAGACATCAGTGCTTTTCTGTAACCTCCATCTGGTGATGTTTCCCTTTCCTGCTTTGGTTGAATTTTGGTGATTTAAAAAAATGCACTTTAAGAGCTTCATTTTGATGTCTGTTTGAGTTTAGGCTTACAAGGAGAAAAGCCGGGTTCATGTGCCTAGGAGGAAGATGATGGGGAACAGCTTGTTGATTTGAATAGTTCTCAAGGTGTTGAGGCATAGGTTGAGGTAATTTTGGAGGTTATATAGAAGGGTCATTAAGAGGTGACTATTTCATTTTCTTTTCTTGGAAGTGTTTATCTTTTATATTTTTTAAAAGAAAAAAATTGAAAAAAGTAAAATAAAGCTTTGAGGAATTTATATGCTTGTGTAAAACCAGTTTTCCCTCATAATGATAAAGAGCTATTGAATATCTTTTTCCAAAAAAAATCTTAAAATGAAAAATATATAAATTGTGCAAAAATGCATTTTTTTATCTGCTCACATTTATGCCTTACCTCCAATTTTTAAAAATAATTTTGATATTTTCTGTCATTTGAGTAGCAATGTTGAAAATTAGATTGGCTCTGTAATCATAGTTTTAGGTGATTGAGACTTTCTTATGATCTAGACCTTGGAGTTTTCAAGCTTTAATTGAAATATGTGCTAAACTAGATTTATTTGCTCTTTGGCTTTCATAGGTCTGAATTTTCAGGTAGTTAGGGATGCTGTTTGGAATTAATGTTTGGGCTTCCCAAGGAACATATCTTTTGCTTATTTCTTTTGTGTTTTAGACTCATGAAATGGCCACAGATGATAAGACTTCCCCACCACCGGACTCTGCCAATGATTTGCCTCGATCTCCTACTAGTCCTTCTCATCTCACACACTTTAAACCTTTGACTCCTGATCAGGATGAACCTCCTTTTAAATCAGCATATAGTTCTTTTGTAAATCTCTTTCGATTTAACAAAGGTAAGACTTGATCTTAAAGATCAGAGAACCTACAATTTTGATTCTCTGAAATTCTCTTGTTCAGCTTTCATGTTGTGTCTGCAAGAAAGTGAATTATTAACAGAGAGCTTTAAGCATAGGTCACTGGGGTTTATTGCTTAAGAAAAGAAAGCTAGAGTTTTCACTATAAATTTTTTTTTTTTTTTAATTGGGGAACAGTGTGTTTTTTCTAGGACCCATCAGCTCCAAGTCGAGTAGTTGTTTCAATCTGGTTGTGGAGGGTGCAGCTTAGCGGCCCATGTAGGGATCGAACTGGCAACCTTGGTGTTGTGAGCACTGCGCTCTAACCAACTGAGCTAACCTGCTGCCCCTCAATGTAATCTTATTAATTGTTGGTAACTGAAGATTTGAATTGAAACTAAATGTTAAAAGGAGGTCCCTTTTTAAAGTTACCATTTTTTTTCTTTCTTTGTATGTTTAGATTTCCATAAGTTCACAGAATGGACTTTGTTCTTTTAGTGGTTACTAGCCAAAAGATTTTTTTTTGAATTAAAATTTATTGGGGGTGACAATGGTTAGTAAAATTTCATAGGTTTCAGGTGTACAATTCTGTAATATATCATCTATATATCATATTGTGTGTTCCCCACCCAGAATCAGTTCTCCTCCCATCACCATGTATTTGATAAAATATTTTAATTAAAGCAATGAAACTAAAGGGATCAGCACATGGGAAGAAAGGTTCCTATTTTTCAAAAATAGAAATTATCAGCAGGCCTATTGTTGACTTAACCCTGTTAGATAAGGAGTAAATATAATACTAGCAAATTAAAAGATACTTTTAAAATGAGCTCTTTTTAAGTAATATTTTTTTTACCTGGAAGAAAAATTAAGAAAACCTAGATTACATCTTTTGCTTTATATTTGGCTATATTATTTGAAATGGATTAGAAAGTGATCCCCTTTTTTGTTAGAAATCTGGAGGTTAGTAGTTTAATTAACTCAGTAGAAATTTTAATAGTATTAACTGATGTTTATTAGTAGTCATGTTTAAAGCTCTGTAAAAACTGTTAGTCCATCTTTAAGACTGATCTTTTTTTAATTTTTTAAAAAATAAACATTATTGTTTAGAATAGTTTTAGATTTACAGAAAAATTGGGAAGATAGTATAGATAGAGAGTTCTTATGTACCCAGTTTCTCTTATTATTATTAACATCTTACATTAGTAAGATATAATTGTACATTTTAATAATTATAGTAATTGTACATTTATTACAATTAACGAGCCATTATTGATACATTATTATAAACTCAAGCATGTATTTTATTCATATTTCTTCAGTTTTTACTTACTGTTCTTTTTCTGTTCCAGTATCCCACATTATACTTAGTCATCATAAGACAAAATATTTAGCGAATGTTTATTGATCACCTACTGTCCACTGGGTACTGTTTTAATAGAGCAAGCAATCTATCCTATAAAAAAACAGACCCCTCCCAAATCTCTGCCTTCATGTGTGGCTTCCATTCGATTTTCTTTAACGTGCTTAAGATATTTCTAATAAAAAGTGAAACAAATCGAACATCCTATACCAAGGATGTGATTATTGGCCTGTAATTTCGCTACCTTCTTTCAATTTTTTTTAAACCCTAATTTTTAACTATGTGTGTTGTACATATATTCTTTCCTGAACAATTTCGTCTATTTCCTTCTCTTTGCTGAACTCTGAGTCTTCGTTTTTCAAATAATGCCACACTTTCCTTTGCTCCAGAGAGGGCGGAAGGGGGCCAGGGAGAGCAGCCGCCTCTGAGTGGAAGCTGGACCAGCCCTCAGCTCCCATCAAGAGCACAGTCTGTGAGGTCGCCTACACCTTATAAGAAACAGCTTAATGAGGAGCTGCAGCGACGATCTTCAACAGTGCTCGGTAAGACGGTGCTCCTCACTCCTCTGCCAGTGTTGGAGTTCGCCAGTCCTTGTTCCCAGCTAGTGTATTGACTTACTGACTTCACTTTTCTGCTATTTGGAATACTCAGGTACTCTTCAGAATGAATGAGACTGTTACCTAGGTGGTGAAAGAATTTGTAGATACCAAAAAAAAAATAAAAAAATTCTTAACCATTTTTATTAAACTTTAGGCCAGGTAGAGATGTCTTGACTGTTTTTTGATTTACTTGCTTGATTTACTTTGAATTACTTGCTTGGCTTTCAGCAGAGAACAGTTTGCCACATCCCCAGGAGAACACAGGTTAGTGTCAGCTTTGTGACTGAATCCCGCATCTGTCCCTGGTGCAGTGGGATGTGCATGCCTCCGGCTGCAGAGCTCGCTCAGCTCCATTAGTCGGCTGCCCCTTGCTCTTGGCTTTCTGTCGTGGTGGGGTGCAAACTGTCAGTGTGGCTGCGTAAGCTGAGCTCCTTGCCTGTTTGTTCCCTGTCCTGGTCTACTATCCAGTCAGCGCCTTCATTTTCATGCTCTTCTGATGAGGATAGGCTGGGGGGTCCGTGCTTGAAGTGAGAGGCTAGATCAAGTGAGTTGTTCGATGTTCTGTTTCTGGTAGGGCTTTCAACTCAGTGCTGTGGTTTGCCCAACTCAAGGTGCTAGAAGAAGGTCAGTGAGAAGAGGCAGAATAGAGGGGAAGGAGTGCAGCACTGGAAATCAAGTGTCCCTGAACCCCGGATCCTGTCTTGTCTGGCCAGTTGTCCCTAGGAGTGAAAAACAGGCAGGTGCAGGTAATGGCGGTTGGCAGGAGGGTACTTTGTGGCTACCTGGGACTTGGTTCAGAACTGCCTTCTGGTGGGTCCGAAGGAGGAGGAGGAACCAAGGAGAAGAAAGGTCTCTCTAAGGACTGGAACAGAGTTGGCCGATCACCTCTGCAGGTCCCGAGGGCAGTGAGCCTCAACCTGGCTTCTGTCAGCCGTTTGGAAGGAAGAATCAGAAGGTGGGAGGGGGAGAGGCAGAAAGGAGCTCTCCTTCCACTCTAAGGGGGATGGAAGGAAGAGACCATCCCCACTTTAACCTTT